CAGAGCCCCTGAACACCTCCCTGGCCAACAGCGAGGAGCAGCCCAAGGTGGGTTTGGGAACATTCCTGGAGTTATTCTGGAGTTATTGGGATTTTCCTGCCTTTTCTGAGCTGATTTTGGGCTCATTTCATCAATTCTCTTTGGTTTTTTATTGAATGTTCATTGTTCTCCATGTTGGGAGCAGCAGAGAATTCCCAAGGTGGATTCTGGGATCGTTCCCAGAATGATGATCCATTTTCCCATCCCCTGAACATCTGGGTGGGTTTTCCATGGGATTTCAGGGGATTATCAGGGAATGGGAGTCCCAGCAGTTGCAAAAAGATCTCTGAGGGACTCAGAAAAAAAATCTGAGGAATTTTCAGAGCTACTGGCTCCTCCTGACCCCTCAGTGTCCTCCAAAAGCAGCAGCACCAGCCCAGGCTGGATTTCTGGGACCCCTGAGGCCAATGATTTACTGGGATTTTCCTGCCTTTTGGGCTGGATTTTTGGGACCCTCTGAGGCCAATTCTTGTCCCGGTGTGTCCTCAGTGTGGGCTGGATTTTGGGGAGCCCTGAGCTCAGTCAGTGCCTGATGCTTGTCCTGGTTGTCCCCAGCTGCTGCAGGCTGCAGACGCGCGGCTCACAGACCCCCACACCACCTGGATCTCCTTCGTGCACCGCCCGGACGACGGCAGCAGCTCCAAGAGGAGATGCAAAGGCAAAGACAAGAAATTGGTAGGATTTGCCCCCCACGTGTCCCAGTTTCCTTCCTGACGCTCATCCTCAAGGTTCCACATTTTCCCAGCCCAAAGAGTGCTGAATTTCCTTTTTTTCGTTTGTTTAATTTCTCAATTTTAGAGAAATTTGAGCCTTCTTTCCTCAGCAGAGGAGATGTGGGAATTTTGAACCAGCCACTCCCAAACTGAGCTTTTCTTGTCTCTCAAATTGAGCCTTTCTCATCTCTCAAACTGAGCCTTTTATAGGTTATTTTCCCACTCATTAAAAGTAAAATCAGTATTTTTCCCCCTTCCAAGAGATAAAGTCCAAGTATCCCAAAGGATCAATTAATCAAGGTGTGGACAAGTGGTTTATTTCAAATTAATGAGCTGAGTGACAGCTCATTAATCATGTGGCACTTCTCATCTGCTGCTTGGACAATCTTGGATTCTTTTAATTATTTTAATTATTTGAGGAATTTTTTGCATCCTCTGAATGTCTGGGCAGCTTTTCCATGGAATTTTAGAGGTTTATCAGAGGAATGGGAGTCCCAGCAGCTGGAAAAAGATCTCTCAGAGCTCTTGGCCCTTCCTGATCCCTCAGTGTCCTCCAAAAATTGTCAGGAATTTTCTGGGAACAGCCCCCCTCACGTTGCTGATGTTCCTGTAGGATTTTCTGCAATTCCCAGGTTTTAATCCCAAATTTTCCTTTGTTTGTTCCCTCAGCGAGGCCTGGTGGGGCCTCCAGGGCCTCCTGGGCCTCAGGGACCTCCAGGAGCTCCCGGGGCTGAAGTCACCAGGGAAGTTCTTCTGCAGGAGTTCAAGGAGATCTTAAAAGGTAAAAGATTTTAAAAAGTCAAAGATTGCCAGAGCATATTCAGGGTAAAGGGTGTTAAAGGCCGGAGGAGCTTTGTTTTGGTGAAGAACCATGAACCAAAATGACGACCAAAAATGTTCCCCCAGTGCTGCTGGGCTTTAATTGGAGATCCAAGTGCAGAATTCCAGGCACACATTAATGGTTTCATGGGCCAGGCCCTTAAATGAAGATTTCATTTCCTTTTATTTCATTTTATTCCTCTTTTCCCCTCAGAAGCCATGGAGCACAGGGCCTCCCTGCCCATCTCAGCCCAGCCCAGCCAGCTGCTGCTGTCCCTGGAGGAGCTTCCATCACAGGAATAGGAATGGCCAGGCCATTAAGTGAAGATTTAATTTATTTCGTTTTATTTCATTTTATTCCTCTTTTCCCCTCAGAAGCCATGGAGCACAGGGCCTCCCTGGCCGTCTCAGCCCAGCCCAGCCAGCTGCCCCCGCTGCTGCTGTCCCTGGAGGAGCTTCCCTCGCAGCGGCGCGTGCAGCAGGCGTTCCACTGCAAGCTCAAGGGCCAGGTGCTGGTGGACAAGAAGACCTTGGTGGAACTCCAGAATTTCCAGTCGGTGAGGAACTTTAGCCTCATCCTGCTGGGGATCAGCTCCAGGGCTCTGTGGGGCTTCTGCTCAGCCCAGAAACTCCTCTGGGGCTGAAAGGAAGAGACAAACCCATGAGAAGGTGTCCAAAGGAGGCCACAGGTGGATCCACCTGGGATCCCCTTTTAAAATCTGATATCCCAGAAGTTCTGCCACTGATGGATTCACCCTGGTGAATTCCCTTTTAAAATCCATGATCCCACAGGTTCTGCCACTGATGGATCCACCTGGGATCCTCTTTTAAAATCCACCATTCCATTATTTCCCAAACTTTTGGCAGCCTAGCTTGGCAGTCAGGCAGGATCAGCCCTGAGGCATGGGCAGGGCTGGAGGGAGAGCTGCTGCCTCATTAATTAGCAGGGAAAATGGGACTAATTAAGCCATCCCAGCAGTGGGCTGCTGCTTCCTGTGCCTCAGGCATGAGGTGCCCAATTCATTCCCGATTTTTCCTGGCTGGGAGCTGATGTGGGAGGCTCTGGGTGCCAAACTGGCACCGCAGCCAGCGACAAGAAGAGTCGGGTTTGGGCTTGTGCCCTCTGGGAAAGGGGAATGCAGAGCCAGAGCAGAGCAGGGATTCGGGATCAGCACAGGGATTTGGGATCAGCACAGGGATTTGGGATCAGCACAGGGATTTGGGATCAGCACAGGGATTCGGGATCAGCACAGGGATTCGGGATCAGCACAGGGATTCGGGATCAGCACAGGGATTCGGGATCAGCACAGGGATTCGGGATCAGCACAGGGATTTGGGATCAGCACAGGGATTTGGGATCAGCACAGGGATTCGGGATCAGCACAGGGATTCGGGATCAGCACAGGGATTCGGGATCAGCACAGGGATTCGGGATCAGCACAGGGATTCGGGATCAGCACAGGGATTCGGGATCAGCACAGGGATTCGGGATCAGCACAGGGATGGATTCGGGATCAGCCCAGGGCTCAGCTCTGTTCTCTCTCCACAGCCCGCGGCCAAGGGCGCGTTCCTGCGGGGCTCGGGGCTGAACCTGGCCACCGGGCGCTTCACTGCCCCCGTGGGCGGCATCTACCAGTTCTCAGCCAACATCCACATCGGTGAGTGCTGCCCCAGGGAGCCCGAACCCCCAGAGAACCCCTGGAGAATCCCCAGATATTCCAGAGGTTCTGCCACTGATGGCCCGTGATGGATCCCCTTTTTAAATCTGATATTCTGGAGGTTCTGTCCCTGATGGATCCACCCTGATGGATCCCTTTTTAAATCTGATATTCCAGAGGTTTTATCCCTGATGGATCCACCCTGATGGATCCCATTTTAAATCTGATATTCCAGAGGTTCTGCCCTGATGCCCAGTGATGGATCCACCTTGTATCCATTGCCTTTGGCTCCATCAGATAAGGAGGAACCCTCTGGCACGTCCTGCAGCCATCCCAGGGCTGCTGATGTCCCTGTGTCCCTCAAACCCCAGAATTTGTGGGATTTCTGACGTTTTCCCTCTGTTTCTCCCAGACCACAGCGAGCTGAAGAGCAAAGTGCAGCTGCGGGCGCGGGACAGCGTGCGGGTGCTGATCTGCATCGAGTCCCTGTGCCACAGACACACGTGAGGCACCCGGGGCACTGAGGGGACCCCTTCCCTCTGCTTGTCCACATTTCTGAACATTTCTGCCAACTTTGGCAATTCTTTCCCTCAAGGGGATTTTGGGAGCTTTTCCAGGGAAAAACGGGCTGGAAAAGGAGCTTTTCCAGCAGAGAGGAAAGCTGTGGCTCTGTCCTTGGCCCCAGACCCCAAATCCCTGCCCAGGTTTATTTTAATGCCCTGCCCTGAGCTCCTCCAGAAATCCACAGGTCCAGAAATCAGGGTGACTTTGGGACAGATCCCAGAGCAATCAGCATGGATTTGGGATGTGTCCCAGAGCAGTGGGAGTGATCTGGATGGATTTGGANATATCGAATTCATTAATTTGTATTCTATATCCTGCCCAAGCCCCCAAACACAGGATTTTCCCTCTCAGTTCCCACTTCTTTGTGGGAATGAGAGGAGAAAAGCTCTAACAGGGAGTTTTGAGTCCCAAAATGTCCAAGGGGAAGCACAGGAATGTTAAAATTCTCCTCAGTTCTGGCTGGAAAGCCAGGTGGGTTCATGGCTGTGCTCTTGAGGGTCCCAATCCCTGCTAAATTTGGGAATCAAAGGTTGGAAAAGCCCTTTAGGATCCTCAAAACCACCTGGGTGCTGTTGTTCCCCAAGGCAGCTACGATAAAATTCTCCTTTCCCTGGATTGGTCTGGATTTGCCCAGAAAAATAAAAAAATAGGGAAAAATTCCTCCTATTTCCCTTTAACCAGGATCCCCCATTCACAACCAGGGCAGGATGTGAATTCCCAGCACTGCAGGGTGATCCTGAGAATCCCTTAAGGATAATTTCATCCCGATTTCTATCCTGAATTTTGTATTTTCCTCGCCTTCCCTTTCCTGCTCTGCAAAGTCAGAGAGGGGAACAGGCAAAGCTGTGGAAAAATGCTGGATTTAAAGCGTTAAAAAAGGAGAGGGGGGGGAAAAACCCCAAAAATTCCTGGCTTTTAAATCAACCTCAGCGTTGCTGATGCAGTTGTTTACGAGCCGCTGTTCCAGCCCATTTCACGGACAAAAGCCAAGGGAAATGAGCTGTTTGATGTCTGCAAAGGCATGGAAAAGCCATGGAAAAGCTCCCATGGAAAGGGAAGTGCTGGGATAAACACTCCCTGATTGCGAGGAAAGGCTGCGGGGAACCAGGGATCATTCAAGGAATGGGGGCATCCCCATGGGGAATATCCTGAGCTGGGAGGATCCATGGGATCATCAGTTCCCATCCTGTTCCTACAGGACACCCCAAAATCCCACCTTTTGTCCAAACAGGGAAGGAGCTGCGTGTACCCCTCCAGGGAAATCCGGGATCATTCAGGGAATGGGGACACTGGGACACCCAGAATGCTGGAATTGGGAAATTAGAGAATATCCTGAGCTGGGAGGATCCAGGGGATCAGAGTCCAACCCTTATCCCTGCCCAGGACACCCCAAAATCCCACCTGGAATGCCCCAAAATCCCACTTGGGAGCGTTGTCCCTGAGGGCTCCCCGTGATGGAAATCAGGGATAATTCAAGGAAAGGGGGCACTGGGACACCCAGAATCATGGAATTAGGGAACAGCCGGAGCCTGGGAATCAATCCCTCTCCAAATTTTCTAATCCACGTTTATTTTCTCTTCATCCAGGTGGTGCCTGAGGTCCCATCTGGAGCCACTGCCAGGATCCACTCAGGAATTCCTTTTCCAGCCTCCTGCCCCGGGCTCTGGTTATTCTTCCCAGCAGGAATTGCAGGTTTTTAAATTCCCTCTTGGAACTAAAAAAGTAATTTTCCTCCTTAATTCCCCCTTTTCCCCTCAGTCCTTCCCCTGAGGTGCCCCCAGGGAAAACCAGGCCAGGCCAGTCCCGCTATCCCACACCTTGCAATATTTATGGATTTTCTTGGAGACAGAACTCTTTGGGAGCCTGCAGCTCAGGTTTTAGAATTTATTTCGGTGTCTCCAGCCCTGCTGTCTGAGCCTGAAAATAGCAACGGAGGCTGATCTTATCAGCAGCTCTTGGAGACTCCAATTATCTCCTCCCGTGGCTCCGCAGAAATCGGATCCTGGTTATTGTTTTCTTATCCCACTCCCTGTCCTCAAAAACCTCCCAGCCACAGCCCCGGAGCTTTCCAGGAGCCAGGCTGGAATTTTATAAAGTGGGAGATAAGCAGAATTCCCGAAATCCAGCCAGGCCTGCACCCCAAAGCCTTGGGACCAATGTTCTGAGGGAGAAACTGAGGGCAAATTTCCATTTTAGCAGATATTCCTGATCAATTCCTTTGCAATAATGGGTTTATGGCACCAGGATGGGATTTGGGAAGTCTGTCCTTGGATATGGAGTGGAAGATTCCAGAAATCCTGACTCCAATTCACTGCAATTCCTTAAATCCAGCCAGGCCTGCACGCCAAAGCCTTTGGGATCAGTGCCTGAGGGGAATGATTTGTTCCCAATTTTCTGAGGGAGAAACTGAGGCAAAAATTCAATTTTAGTAGTTCTTCCCACTCAATTCCCTTGGAATAATGGATTTATGGCACCAGGCTGAGATTTGGGAAGTTTGTCCTTGGATATGGAGTGGGAGATTCCAGGATTCTGCTCTTCCCTACATCCAGCCAGGCCTGCATCCCAAAGCCTTGGGCCCAATGTTCTGAGGGAGAAACCGAGGCAAAAATTCCATTTTATCACCTTTTCCCACTCAATTCTCTTGGAATTATGGATCCACAGCACCGGGCTGGGATTTGGGAAGTCTGTCCTTGGATATGGAGTGGGAGATTCCAGGATTCCTGACTCCAATTCACTGCAATTCCTTAAATCCAGCCAGGCCTGCATCCCAAAGCCTTTGGGATCGGTGCCTGAGGGGAATGATTTGTTCCCAATTTTCTGAGGGAGAAACTGAGGCAAAAATTCAATTTTAGTAGTTCTTCCCACTCAATTCCCTTGCAATAATGGATTTATGGCACTAGGCTGAGATTTGGGAAGTTTGTCCTTGGATATGGAGTGGGAGATTCCAGGATTCTGCTCTTCCCTACATCCAGCCATGCCTGCATCCCAAAGCCTTGGGCCCAATGTTCTGAGGGAGAAACTGAGGCAAGAATTCCATTTTAACGGGATTCTCCCCGTGTAACAGCAACGAGAGTCCACCATCCTGAGCCTTCCTCCCGAGGCGTTCAGGGGATGCCGTCCTTCCTCTGGCAGCACTGCGAGGGAGGCACTCCCCAGTCGTACATGTAGGAAAGCCTGAGTTTCACCTCCTCCTTACAGAGCTTCCCTTCCTTGGCCAGCGTCTGGTGCTTCTCCAGCATGTCCTCGATGCTCTGCTTGTGAGTCACGATGTATTTGTTGCTGCAGCCGCGCGATTTGTACTCGGTGTCGAAGCGGGGGTCGTGCACTCTCTTCACGTCGATGGGCGCCAGCCACACGCCCAGGGACACGTCCTCGCTCTGCCACAGGTTCAGGTAGTCCCTGCTGAGGCGCAGGTAGCGCACCAGGTCGGCGGAGATCACGTAGCCGCCGCCCAGCGCGTAGGGCAGGTAATAATCGCACAGCAGCCAGGCGCTCTCCTTCCACTTCCCCCCGGATTTCACCCGCCCGCGGCCCGAGAAGAAGCCCCAGTAGAGGCGCCGCGGCTCCTTGGCCCTCAGCTCCTCCACCAGCACGTCCAAGCGCACGAAGGTGTCGTCGTCCGCCTTGAGGGCGAACTGGAAGTCCAGGTGCGCGTCCAGCCACACGTAGGTGGCCAGCACCTTGGCCGTGAGGTTCTCGTAGGAGTCGCGCAGCTCGGGCAGCAGCAGCAGGTCGCGGTGGCGGCTCTGCTCCAGCTCCANGGGCCCAATGTTCTGAGGGAGAAACCGAGGCAAAAATTCCATTTTATCACCTTTTCCCACTCAATTCTCTTGGAATTATGGATCCACAGCACGAGGCTGGGATTAGATTGGATATTTGGGAATATTTCCTCACTGAAAGGGTGCCCAACCATTGGAATGGGCTGCCCAGAGAAGCAGTGGAGTCCCCATTCCTGGAAGTGTCCCAAAAACCTGCGGATTCCCATCCCAAAAACCTGTGGAAACCCCTGGATGTGGCACTTGGGGACACGGCTTAGTGGTGGATGCTTGGATTTGTATCTTGGAAGGTTTTCCCTGCATTTTTAATTCCAGGATTCCAAGGAGCAGGTGAGTCACTCCCATCCCACAAAAACCCCAAAATTTCCTCCTAGCCAGGAATCCCTATGGAATTAAAGGGAATGGTAAAGAAAAGCAGGATAACACAAATTTTTCCAAGTTGTTGTGCACAGCACCTCAAATTGGGAAAATCCTGAAGATTCTCCCGATGTTTTTCACAGCGGGATTTGGGAAGGGACAGCAGGATCTGCAGAGCTCTGGACTCTGAGGAGATGCAAATCCCAGCAGGGAAAAAGTCACCCAGGAAACTGCAAAAAAACTCCAATATTAATCCCACTCTGGGATTTCAGTTTAGCAAAGCCATGGATTCACCCTGGATCCAGCCCAGCACATTCCCAAGGGTAAGCAGGACACTCATTTTTGTGGGATCAGGGCATGGAAAGAAGGAGAAATAATTACCCAAGATAAAATCAGAAGGATTGGCCCCAAATTCCAGCTCCTAGCACCTCAAGCATCAGGATTTTGGCAGATCCAGATCCAGAATCCTGGCTCGAGTCCTTCCCTAAAATCAACACCTAAAGTAAATATTTGGAATTGTCCTGGCCAGCAGCAGCTCTGGATAAATGTTTTTTCCAGTGGTTTGTGCTGTGATGATTCCAAGCCCTCTGGCACCACCCCAAACCCATCGATCACTGGCGGCAACGACGACGTTTTCCTTTCCTTCAAAAATCAGAATTATTCCTTTTCCAGCCTTTTTTGTTCCTCGTGGATCTTGTGCTTTGTGGGAGCTGCTCTGCTTGGCCAGAGCTGGAGAGCGGAAAATAAACAGGGCTCACATTCCTGGGATTTTGGCTGTCAGGGGAAGCAGGGAATGATGGGGACCACCAGAAAGTGGGAATTGTGGTTTTCCACCAGGAGATGTTCTTCCCAACTTCCTGGGCATTCCTCGGCAACTTCCAAAATCCTTTGGAAATTCCTTTGGAAAATGAAATTTCCCAGCTCAAATCCGTGGAATTTTCAGCTGAGGAAACCCCAAAAATTCCTGATTTAAAGGGGACACAGGGACTGGGATTTTGTCCCTGTGTCCTCTTTTAAAAAAAATCCAGGAATGGTTTTCATTATTTTAATTAAATTTCAATAATTTCATTAATTTTCCTGTATTTTAGGGGCTTTTTCAAAAGTTTCTCTTTAGGTTTCCACATCAATTTCCCATGGATTCCATGGAAAAAGATGGTGGCCCCATCCTCAATAATTCCCTCATAATTCCTTTTTTTAATTGGAAAACTCCTTTCCCTTTTCCCCCAGTTATTTTATGTTAAAATCAGAGCCCACCACCCGATTTTAGTCACAAACACCTGGTTTTAAACAGTTAAATTCCTTTTTTTTTTAAGGAATTGACACTTCCAAAGGCTTGGAGTGACATCTAGCGACTGCCTGGGACAGGCAGGAAAATCTGGGAATAAATTCTAAAAGGATCCCTTTGCTTCAACAGCAAAACCCCAAAGTTATCCCAAATTATTTATGGGAAAAAATCAGTTTATTTTCATTTTTGAGGGAAATTTGAGTTGTCTGTTTGAGGGTGGAATGTTTGAAAATTGGAAGGAAAATTGATTTAAAAAATATTGGAATGCTGAGGATTAAAGATGCCAAGGAAATCAAGGCGGGGGAAAATTTCTTTTAAAATAATTTGGTCTCATCCTCACCTGACTTTGCTTCCCAGGTGGAATTTTCCAGGGAAAATAAAGGGTAAAGGTGGATAAAATAATGGGAAAATGGATGTTATTCTGGGAATACTGATTTATTTGTATTTTTTTCTGGGAAAATAAAGAGAATACACTGGCAAGAATTATAAATAAATATAATTATAAATAAATATTCACATTACAGGTAATTTATCACGACACAGACAACACTGATGAACCTCAGATGGCAAATGGACGTTTAAAAAACTGGAAGTTGCTGACATCTTGGAAAATTCCTGCTTTGGAATAGGATATTTGGGGAAAAAAATACTCCTTGGTAATCCCTATGCATGCATTATAATAATAATTATTAGAACAATAATTATAATAATTGAGTTCAACATGCTAAAATAATTGAGTTTTTGCTGGATTTTAGTTTTGTTTTAGGAAAAAAAGCCTTGAAAATTTTAAACCAAAAAAATCTTCTGAAGATTTTTGATCTTCAGTTATTAATTAATTAAAACAAGAATAACAAAAAAAAAAATTCCAATGTAACTGATCCCTTTGGTATTCCTAATTCCTAAAATTCCTAATTTTGCTAAGCAAAAAGAAAGAGAAATTGGCACCTTTTTTATTTTCAATTTTTCTGTGCCATTTGTCTCTTCCAGCCAGAGTTGGGAAGGAGGGAATGGAATGGGAATGAAAGTGCAGAGTGCAACAAACACCAAAAAAAAAAAAAAAAGAAAAAAAACCTCACCAAAAAGACATTTAAAAAATGAAATTTTACATTTCCAAAGTAAAAACTGCTCACACTGCAGAGCTGCAGCTGGCACAGGGCACTGGGGAAATTCTGGAGCAGCTGCCACTGGAAAATGTTGGAATTCCAGGTTTGGAGATAAAGAACTCGTGTCTGAGGCCTGGGTGAGCTCTGAATGTTTTGGTGTAGGCAGGACTGAGGGGAAATCCCCAAATTCTGGACGTGTCACTGATAATTAATTCAATTTTAGTTCCTCTACAAGGAATTTTTGGAGAAGAGGAGGGAATTCCCTAACTCTGAACACCTAAATGTGATTTTTTAGTGTGCTGAAAAGAGAAATAAAAGTTCTCCAAATTCAGTTTTTGGGGTGGGGGGAACCTTTTTCTCTTGACTACACAAATTTCACTTCTATACCTCAAATCCCCACCCTTGGGCAAATGGTTTTTGAACTCCTACTGATCAATTTTTGCTCATTTGTATTAAAAATAAACCTAAATTTGGAGCAGCCAGGGAGTTCTTGAGTGAGAGTTGGAGGGAAATGAGCTCAAAACAACACCTGGAGGCTGTGCAAAGCCAAAAAATCTTCTCCCAAAATAAGAATAAATTTAATTTCTGCCAAAACTCAGCCGCCTCCCTTTGGAGCTGCCAGGTGATTTATGTACGTTGCCTTTCAGAGAGCAGAACAAGACAAATGAGCAGATGGAATGATTCCATTCTCTGCTCTCCCTGCAGCCCTCCCAGGAAAAGCTGATCCCTGTTCCCAGCCTCTGGAATAATCTGGTCCCAGTTTGGGCTCTTCCCTCCGTGCCAAGCTGGCATTTCCTTGCCAAGGAATAAACAGCAGCCTCATTTTATTCTTATCAGCATCAAAACTTAGCATGACCTTTAGCAAATCAGCCTCAGAATCTGTTCCAGCTTTTCATTCCAGTTTTCTCCCCCCCCTTTTCTCCACTTTTTGTGTTTTGACACCTTTTATTTGCCTTCAATCCTGGCATTTGACCTTTTGCTGTGCTTTCTGGCACTTGGTTTATTTTATTTTTTAAGCATCTTTAACCATGCCACGTCAGCAGTTCTCAGGGAGTGTCAGGGTGACAGAATGAGTCGTGCAAAATCTTTTTAAGAGTAATTAACCCCTGACTCCAATTAACTGCTCTTCCCTAAATCCAGCCAGGCCTGCATCCCAAAGCCTTTGGGATCGGTGCCTGAGGGGAATG